GAACGGATTCGCTTGAAAATGGTTCTGAAGCTTCCCAAGAGGTTTCCCCACAGATTTGAGTGTTGATTTTGTTAGATTCGCTCTCGTTCTCGAGAAATGACCATGAATCTGGGGTACTTTGGAAAAATAGAGGGATTTTGAGGTATATCATCGAACTTTCTGGGAAAATGGATCGATGAATCATTGTGCCCTTTGACCCGAAGACGGACGAGGATGGTCTCCAAAAACTGGAGCATTCTTTTTCCGGTGCAACCCAAACAGCATGTTTCTGTTAATTTCACGTAAAATGAATGCAACTTTTTTTTCCATTTTATATCAGTTTTACGCAAACCATTGTCAAGAAAATGTCAACATGTTTGCATAAATGTCACCTCTGTGATACGTCAACGGTGATGTAAAATTAGCGTCAATTTTACGTAAAATTGACATCACTTTTGCATTCCAAACAGCATGTTTACATTCATTTTACGGAAGATTTATGTTAATTTTCCCCTGGCATTAATGCGTATTTAAAGAGCCAATCAGTACCATTTTATATACAATTCATATACTGAATCTTCTATTCCTTCACGTTCTTCAGAACTCTAGGGTGGTTGGACGAGTACACATCCTCACCAGCCCTCAAGAGTACCAAAGTGACTTACTGCTTCCTCCTCCCTTACCGGAACCTTGGGAGGAGGAGTATGATTGCATAATAAAAAGTAGAAGGATGCTAAGAAAACCTGATACTATATCAGGAAAACCAGTACTTAGTAGTAATTGTAGGATGCATGGAACAAGGGTTCCATCTAGTGAGGAATCTTGGTACTGCAGCAGCACGATGGTCAGCTAAAGTTTCATATGGATGGTGTGGTGTTAATTTGTCATAAACTTGTTATCATGTACTTCACGTCAGATGGAGTGACGTCTAGTTGATATAAAATACACGTACACTTTGGTGACATAAATATAGGAACGTAAATTTTACGTTAACGAGATGTCATTTTCATGGCAATCGCAAGAAATTTACATTGTTTGCAAAAAATGTATATCTTGTTTACGTGAACATGCTGCTTGGGAATGTTTCTACGGAGAATGAGGGAGGGAAGTAGTGAATTCGCGAAACGCGAATTCACTTCTTCCATCGGCGCACCTTGGCGCACGTAGCACGCAATCAACATCACGTCCGTTGTGCGTGCGCCAGCTTCTTTTCTATTTCTGCCGGATTTGGTACGATATGAAAAATTATTTTAAAATGTTACGTTCCCAAGAAATGTGAACCCCAAAACTATTTTGGAAATTTGACTTTTGTCATTGAAGCTTAGTGCGTCAACGGTCACGTTCTTGCCAAGTTTCAGTTTTCCATGTTTCTCCCTTTGAAGCAAAAAAAAACTATTTGAAAATATGTTCCCCGAAAGGTGCGCCCTTATGGCATGCACCACCAAAGTTGAATTTTTCCTGATCTCAGCATGCGAATAGCTATTTATGTCAGTTAGTCAGCTACTCACGATCGTCTATACATAATAAAAGTAGAATTTTTTCTTTACGCCTCTATCCATCAGGTACTTATTCGCCAAGTTGTTTTAACTTTCATCCGCCCTCTTTTTGCTGGATCAGAAGATTTGTGAAAATACGCCTTTTGCAAAATATGTGCCCTGAGCCGTTTTAACCGAAACGTACCATTTCTTTCTTATTACCGAAATACATCCTCAGTGAAATACATGCCCACAACGTTTCAATATTATACGTTTTCCCTTTTCGCTGGTGGAGAAACATGTTTAGAATAGTCGACCCACCTAAAAGCTATGCCCGGAGTGGATGCATCACGAAAGCTGAATACTCCCTCAGCTCAGTAATATCATGTCACTTATACTGTAGGAGGTACTTATTAAGAATCACCTTGCTAATCAGGTCGGACGGATGAACTTGCACGCATGTCTTGAAGTAAGGGTTATAAAAGACTGCGCGAGCAATGAAAGGGAGAGTTGGCGGATGTTGTGAGAGGCGGTGTGTGTGAGCGGAGAGGAAAAACATCTGATCGAGAGTTGAGAGTGAGTGTAGGAAATCGTCCCACCCCACGTTAATAACCATACAGGTATAGGTCATTTTGTATCCCTTATTCAGTCACTTTTGTATGCAATAGAAGTTCAAATACGGCTTCAGTATCCCATTTCTGATTCTTGTCAACATTGTTCTCATCCTATCCTGGTTGTCAGCAACTAACAGTAATTATATAATAAATTCATTATATTATTAAGAAGGAGTCAACGGAGTCATTCTAACCTCGAACACGCTGGCGTTCTGTTAGTGATAAGGAATAATATACGATCACGTCAGAGCCGCCTACAGTTGTTTCCAACACCATTTTTGTCCCAATGGTTTCAAATCGGTTAACTTTTACTCTCGTCCAATCCACTGACGCTTTCGAATGGTCTTACATCAAACCCTTGCATTTGAGAGCAACATCAAGTCGATACTAGATGTGTCTTGGTAAAAGCATACGTTCTTCACTTTGGGTAAAGCTTTGACACCATATTCTTCACTGCTGTTGTTAGCTTTCAGGACCTTACTGTGGCTCTACCGACCTCACCAGCGGCAACTTGCCTCACAATTAGGTGTATCTGGCAGAGGGATAGCTTGGTTGACCTCCCATCTTTTGACTTTACAGCATTTGGAAATTAAATTTGCTGGTAACCATAATCGGTATTTCAATGAATATTGGGTGCGAAGATGATTTAACACGTCGAACAATCCTCTTCATGAAGTTTGAAACTTTGAAAGATGATTTCAGGAAATATAAGCTTTATGCCTACTGCGATGAGGTATAGTGGATGATTAATCTCCTAAAACGTTTTTTGGGTAGGTGATACAAATTCCGACCCCCTTAAGCTCAAAATCCACCATTGCATTAAATTATGAATCGCTTGGGGCGGAATTCATAGCAGCGTTGGTATTGGCCTCACCTATCCTATGTCCATAACCCACTCTATTGATTGATACCATATGCCATATCCATTGGTTACATGCAACTTGGAGTTGATAGAGTGAATTATCGAGGAGCGAGACACAAATTATATAAGAATAGGAATAAAGACAGAAACTGTCCTAATGATTGTGCTTGATCCAATTTTCCGTTGCTCAGCATATAGCAAGCCGATTGACCTGGAGCTTGTGTCCAACAAACTGGAACAACCATTGCTATCAGGAGAGGGTATTGCATTTCAGATACCACGTCATGTTTGAGAGTTATGGCAGCACAACGTTAAAAGTGCGAAATATTAGGACAGTTTATGCCGTCACTGCATGCAAATTATACTGACCACATCGCAGCAATAATTTTGCCATGGATGATACACAACGCATTTTGAAAAAAAGAAAAGCAGGATGTTTCACATCAAGATGAACGTGCTAAAATCTTCAATCTGGGGTTTTCTATCATCAGTGTTAAGAAAATGGAAGTTGCACGAACGATGAAGGACAAATATGGAATGTGCAAAATATTCACTTGATTTCCGGTTGGATGAGCATAGCATTTCTAAGATCTTTCTAAAGAAGCCCATTTCCCCATGAGCAGTACATCAGAAATAAAGTTTGGGACTAGAAGCAGTGAACTTTACAACTAATAATCACTTAATAAATGCTTCATTTGAATAAGCATGTCAAAGATAATGCTCCCCAACCAGCGAAATCCACACCTCCGTGTGATTAATCAGCATGGTGTGATTGTTCAATCATTCGGTGTATTGCGATGTACAGCAAAAGTAATCTCGTACAGTGAGATGGAAGGGTGGTAAGAGATGCCAAAGGAACAGTGCAAGAATGACCCAAGGACCAGAAATTCAAAATTAGGAGCTGCCAATCTCCAAAGCTTATCGATCTGTTTTAGAATCAGTTGAGTCTGGTGGCGCCGGTAAGATGGCACGTCTCCATGCACGCGATCTACTGTAGATCTGCTATTCGCAGCAGATGTCCTACAATTTGAACCGCTTCCTACATTGATCATTGCCGTTTCGATTTGCAATCTAAGACCTCAAGCCAGATGTTTCCTCTCATTCGAGGTGATTAAGGTCACGAAGCAGAACTTGCTGAAAATTTGCATGCGGTGACTGGGGTTTCCATAATGACGACACCCATTCCCTACAATTGATTTTCCATCTGATTTCTGGGATTCGAGTTCGAATTCATTCGGTGTGTCTTATTTGAATTCTATAAGTGTCTATCGAAAGCTTATAACCTTGGAGGCGATGCTTATTTGGCCAAAAGTTCAGAAAGCCCAATCATCCCGACATCATAAGGCCTCATTTCGGCAATAAGAGCAGCATTGTTCTGAATGGGCCTGGGCCCAGATATAGTGTTCACAACCGACAATGAGAGTACGAGGCATTGTCAGCTACCGACGTTGTTGCTATGTTGTTGGCTGCTTTGTTGGCAAACTGTTGGCAATGTTTATATGTCATAGTTTTTCGTGCTACCAGTTCCGGCACCGGCTTACAACAGTGATTCACGTTTGCCTGCAGGATTCAGTTAGTGCTGAATATTATTACTTTCAATTTTGGTGTTGCTCTCACGGTGCTGCGAAAAAGGCTGAGAGGTTCAAACTATTCTGCGAGGAGACCTACTGATGTGCAAGAAAAAGAGATATTCTGGGGTCACAGTCAATGGATGAAAGTACAGAACGATGTGCACAACATGCTTTGATACGACTTATTTCATCCCGTGCGAGCATGGGCTTTTGTTCTAGTAGGACAATATCGGATATCTTGTGGCTTTTGTTCTAGTAGGACAATATCGGATATCTTGTGGCTTTTGTTCTAGTAGGACAATATCGGATATCTTGTGGCTTTTGTTCTAGTAGGACAATATCGGATATCTTGGAAAAACGGTCAGACGTAGACGGCTGGGACTCGGGAACAAGAAGAGCTTTTCTAAGAAAATGCTCTCATTGACTCAGCTGAACTAGTCTCATAATTCCCAAGCAAATTCGCCTCCGACCAAAGTAATTTGGTTCAGTCGGATTCATGATGATAAGTATGATTATATATGTCACATATCATGTTTTTTCATCTTATGTTTTAGGCGATGAAATTGACACATTTGGAACGTACGGTGAAGTGTATGCTGCCTTCTTGGATGGGAAGAATATCCAAGCTGAAGTGGATGTCACCATGTGCACTGGCACTCTTCCGGATGTCCTTGTAATTCCCATTTTATTCATATTATGGTCACTCGGGAAGAGTGATGCACAACCCCAGCCCCGCGGGCCGCATGCAGCCCGTAGATACCTTTTTTGTGGTCCCTTGGATGCCTCCGGTCTCTAAAGATCCGTATTTATCTATATATGCGGCCTATTTCGACTCGTGCTATAGGGCCTGCGGCCCTCGAACCCTTCGAACATGAGCCGAAGTCTGTATTTTGGCCTCTAGGGGGAAAAGGTTGTACATCACTGCTCTAGAAGAACAACCATGGCTATTCGTGCCACACCACTTTTGTCGTCGGTGTCGAGTTTCGATATCTCTGTGGCCAGAGCCAGAACCACCGTCTCTCTTAACTCCCAGCATCCCTATAATACCTGTTGGTTTTTTTTAAATATAGGGTGTTCGCATTTAAACACAACATAGGGAATATTTTGCCGCTTGTAGGTGAAGGGCAGCGAACACTATAAGGCCCACCGAGTTGCATATCTGCAAGGAAACACGCGAGGGATTGGTTTCATCCTTCCATATATGCAACCCAGTGAGCTATAAGGCAGGCCTGAGCTGCACAAACAGGAAGAAAAAAATTCCTAATATGCGTTTAAATACTTGTACAGACCCAGAAATCAACGTCTTACAGCTAACTTCTGTCCATTGCATTCATACTTTCACTTAATACTTGTCTTTTGCACATGAGCTTAAGGTCTGATGGAAAGGTGATTAAAGATTTTGTGCTCTCAATGAGGGCAGAAGTCTCTTGTCCATGCATCTCGATAAGGAGGAATTTCAAATAACTGCAAACACAGAGATTTTAATTATTGGAACGTTCTTAGAGATAGTGAGAGAGTAAATTCCACATTTTGCAACAAATGGTATCCAAAGAAGAAACATCTTTTGCCATTTCCCCTGAAAGCGATAAGATTTTTCCTTGAAGTTCTTTAACATTTTTTGTCATTCATATTCTTAACCACTCGCTAACCGGGCTATATGTCTTAAAAATTCCAGAGTTCCAAAGTGTACGGGAGCCAATCTGACATAAAAGGAAAAAATGTTTGAGGGCAAATTTATTTTCAAGTAGTTTCAGTTCATCACCAGAGGAAACTCGTTCAAACTCTGTACATTCCAGAGTCCAAGCGCAGTACATCCTCATTTCTTTTGTTTCTTCTAAATATACGAATCATTGAGACGTGCGCCGATACAATGCAATATAATATCCTCCGAAAAGCCGAGCTTAGAATATTCCAATTTCCCGTTCAGGTTGCTGGAGCAAAGGTGGTAGCTTGGGTTCGAGAGGAGTCAGGGGATGCACCAGGGATCCACTTCTCGCAATCCATCGTTAACAGTAAATAGAAATTTCCTCACCGTCTGAGTCCACTGTCGTTGCTTCCATCAACTCTGTACATCACTAACCATTCTTGTATAACAGTCGATGGAGACGTAGTCATACAAGAGTTCCACTTGCGTGACAACAACATCTTGTACATCACTGGCACCACCTTCAACCCTGTCGACCCTGATGACGTCCCAGATATAATCACGTTCACGTGTACACTGGGTGATGCTGCCATTTTCTCTGCACCAGCCTATGATCTGTGAGTTCTGCAGTCAGTTCATCTAAGGACGACGGCGCATGATTTTCAGTGTAGGGTAGTTCCACGCTAAGGTCAGTCCTAAGGCCAAAATAAAAACTACGTAAATATTGCATATTATGATCATACACTCCAAGACAGATATCGGCGACATGAAAAAACGACCAGTGTCACTCCACAGAGAATGCCGACGGTCTCAAGTGGCACCACCTGGATCTGCTTATTTTCATCAAATTTTTGCTTTTACTGGGCTACTTTTTGCGTATTACAACCGAACTAACTGATGTAAAACGAAATAATCATGAGCTATATCATCTTCAGATTTAATTAGGCTCAGTCCCATGCTTCCTTCTCTGATGTATTTGAATAGGCCAGGCCTAAAGTAGAATGATGGTAACATGTTATGTTAGTCACACAAAATGAATAACTTTCCGTTTATGCCCTCACTGATGGCAATATATCCACCAATTGAACATTTTCTCTTACTATACGTCCTACTCCTTGTGCATATTTCGCCTTCTTGATAGAACGATGTTTAGGCTCGGTAACTAACATAACCAGTCAATAAACCTCCTTAGTTCTATGCATGACCATTATCAGGGAAAGGTGGCAAAGTATCTCCACTCTAACCCCGTAAGTCATTGTAAATCGTAGTTAAGAAAGCACCTGGAGGGAAGGAGAATGTAGATCGCGAGAAGCCAAGAAAAGGAGGATCTTTATTAGCGGCCAAATTGTAGCGTGACGTATATATAGGGCTCGCCTGCATAGAGGGAGTGCTTATGGCATTGTACCAATCTTACGCTGAAAAAGTAAATCACAGCATGGAAATTATTAGCGTGCCAATTAGCCAACCTTTGAGCTCTGTGCACATGCCACGTCAGAAGTAGGCCTATATAGCTTTTCTCCATGCCAAATGTAAATTTCAGATTTCCCTTGATAAAATACACGTTGACAACACTATGCATGTCATACCGTCTCTGAAAAGGAAGAGAAATGTACCAAGGCATACGCGAAAACGTTGTTACAGAGCAACGAATAAATGAAATGATTCCTCCAAATTAAGGGTGCAACGCAGCAGGAATTCCCGTGGTGATTCAGATGTTCTTGTGTGTTCTATGCCTGACTTAATCATTTCTTCATCATAACTAGCAAAACACGACTTTCAGAATCACTACATCCCTAAAGGTAAATTGTCCTGACATTTCGTTTAAAAAATTCAAGTAGGGCGTTACTTTCTGTTCCGTTACGCCCTCTTGAAGCATTTTAATCACCCAGTGCCAATAATGCTGAGTGAGCCTTAGAATTTCTCTCATGTTTTTGGAGACTGTAAGACACGCACAGGGGAATCAGCCAATTTTTATCTCTGAAAAGCTGAACTTTACACTGAGTAACCTAATTAGGCATTTTCCTGACGTGGCACGTGCACAGCACATGAAGATTGGTGAGTATACGCTAAAATGTTCACGCAAAAATAAAACACCAAAGGTAGATGAGATGACATCGCAAATCCTGTTATGGGTGCGAACCCTAAATTACTTATTACAGTTAATTTTGGAGGCTAATATAGATCGAATTGCTGCTGAGGAAGGCATGAAGGCATTGCGTTTCAAAAGCGGAAGGATAGAGCGTTTCAAGAATGATGTATGCAACACGTTCCTGGTAAGTATCTAAAATACTGTATATAGACAATCGTGACTGACTGACTGACGATAATTCTAACAATGTTCTAGAAGGGTTAAAAATCTAAAACTTGGTACACATATACCTTTTGGGATGCAGAGTTCAGAAAAAATCCGACTTTGGAGGTACATTCCCTGTGGGTACACATTTTTTGGGGAAAAGATTTTCTTAAATATATGTTGTGACAGATGAGGATGGCATTCAGAGAGACTACCGGATGTCCTGGATTCGGTGGTGTAATAGTAGCCTCTCCAACTGGCAATCAGTAGGTATGGATTCAATTCCTTACCATTCCTTGGCTTCCTTTTTTTTTTTGCCTTCCATGTCCCGTTACTCCTTCCCCCACCATAACATTATTTTTGCTTGAGTAAAACGGAGAGACATGGAAAGCTGAAACTTGGCATGGACGAGACGATGGTTTCAGGAAAAATGGAAAATTTTAGATTCATGCCCTCGGGGCATGTTTTTGTGAGCCGACGTTTTCAAGTACTTTTTTGTCCAGGCGTATTGAGGTAGTGTGGAAAGATGAAACTTGATACATAACTACCTGTTGGGATGCTGCAGAAAACTTCAAACTTTAGAAGTTTTATGCAGTTGTGCCCATGGGGGCACAACTTTCAAAGGGAGAAGTTTTCAACTAATTTTTTTTGCATCAGTTAAACTGATGAACATGAAAATCTGAAACTTTGCATGAATGTGACTACTGGGACAGAGTTAAATAAATATGTTACGTCTCGATACATCCCCTGGGGNTTCCATGTCCCGTTACTCATTCCCCCACCATAACATTATTTTTGCTTGAGAAAAACGGAGAGACATGGAAAGCTGAAACTTGGCATGGACGAGACGATGGTTTCAGGAAAAATGGAAAATTTTAGATTCATGCCCTCGGGGCATGTTTTTGTGAGCCGACGTTTTCAAGTACTTTTTTGTCCAGGCGTATTGAGGTAGTGTGGAAAGATGAAACTTGATACATAACTACCTGTTGGGATGCTGCAGAAAACTTCAAACTTTAGAAGTTTTATGCAGTTGTGCCCATGGGGGCACAACTTTCAAAGGGAGAAGTTTTCAACTAATTTTTTTTGCATCAGTTAAACTGATGAACATGAAAATCTGAAACTTTGCATGAATGTGACTACTGGGACAGAGTTAAATAAATATGTTACGTCTCGATACATCCCCTGGGGAATTTTTTCGAGGGGCGATGTTTTGAAAAAAAAAAGTTTTTATGGCGAATTGGACAGAAATTGAAAGGGGAAACATGGCACACATATAAGTGACGATATTACTGAGCTGAAGGAGTATTAAAGTTTCATGGGGCAACCTCTCCGGCCATGGCTTTTCGGTGGGTCTGCTTTTCCAAGCATGTTTTTTCACCAGCGAAATGGGAAAACGTATAATATTGAAACTTAATGGGCATGTAGTTCACCGGGCAGACATAGAAAATTGCCCTTCAGGCAAACAAACCCGCTAGTCTAATATACATAGACGATCGTGACTAACTGACTGACTGACCGACGCTAATTCTAACCATGTTGTAGGAAGGTTAGAAATCTGAAACTTGGTACACATGTACCTTTTGGGATGCATAGATCAGAAAAAATCCGACTTTGGAGGTACATACCCTGGGGTAGAAATTTTTGGGGGAAATGTTTGTCTTTAATATATTTTGTGACAGATGAGGATGGCACTCAGATAATTAATTGGGGGGCCCGGGTTCAGTGGTGTAGTAGTAGCATCTCTGACTGGCAATCAGGAGGTCTGGGTTCAATTCCCGGCCATTCCATGGGCTTTCAATTTGTTTTTTTTTTTTGCCTTCCATGTCACGTTACTCATTCCCCCTCCATGACATTATTTTAACGGCTCAGGGCACATGTTTTGCAAAAGGCGTATTTTCACGAATTTTCTGATCCAACAAAACAGAGGGCGCATGAAAGCTATAAAAAAAACTTGGCAAATGAGTACCTGATGGATAGCTGCGTGAGGAAAAAATTATTCTTTTATGATATATGGACGATCGTGAGTAGCTGACTGATTGACATAATAGCTCTTCGCATGCTGAGTTCAGGAAAATTTCTACTTTGGTGATGCATTCCATAGGGGCGCACCTTTCGGGGAACATATTTTGAAATAGTTCTCTTTGCTTCAAACGGAGACACATGGAAAGCTGAAACTTGGCAAGAACGTGACTGTTGACGCACTGAGCTCAAATGTCAAACATCAAATTTCCAAAATAGTTTTGGGGTTCATATTTCTTGAGGACGTAACGTTTTTAAAAATTTTTTCATATCCTAACGAATCGGGCAGAAATAGAAAAGTAGCTGGCGCACGCATGACGGACGTGATGTTGATTTAAGGAAAAATTAAACTCTTTGTGCGTCTCCTCAGAGCACAGCTTTTGGGTGCGTCGCTTTTCCAAATACATTTTTTCCGCCAGCAAAAAGGGGAAACGTATAAGGCTGAAACTGGTTGGCATAGAGTTCCCTGAGTCTACATTTAAAAAAAAAATAAATTGTTAAAACCCATTAGGGCACTTTTTCCAGTCCCATTTTCATGATTTTTTTTTTATCCAACGAAACAGACAGAAAATATATTTACTTCCCTCAGAAGTGCCTGTTTAATGGCTGAGTACAGGAAAAATCCTACTTTTGAAATATGTCTCCTTAGCGTAGATTATTGAGGGAATTATTTGAAAATGTATTCTCCACCCTTTCAAAAAGGGACACAAGAAAAGATTTAAAGTTAGGCACACATATAATCATAGAAGTAATGATTTTGATTTAAATAAGCAAGATTTTCGACCCCAAATGTCACGTATTTCAATGGGGACGTACTTTAAATACGTGTTTCCCATTTAGCAAAAAGTGAATGAATTTTAATCACTATCTAAGGGAATGGAGCGCAGAAGGCGCGACCATATTTTAAAACTAGCGACCATACTTTAATAAATCTGAGTGGGTATTCGAATAATTTCTCCTGATGGCACGTCCATGGATTGGTATTTCGAGATCTTCGAACATCGACGGAGTAATCTCCATTTAAGACCAAACATTCTAAAGGAAAGCAAGGCAGCAATTATAAAGAGCGGAGTTATGTCAGCCACGGTTATGTTAGTCACAGCAACTAGATTGATTCAGTCGGCTTTTTCATCTGGAGATCTCTTGTACATGTGACCTTTATTGCGAATTGGTAGAACATAACTTGGAGAAGGTAAATGGCAAATTGGGTTGCATGAAGAATTCTAGTTTCAGAGCAACCATAAAGAGCATTTGATGTGGGAATCGACTTGTCCTTTTATGGCTGTTAGTCACACATGCTTCATGGAACTGCACTGGCAGAAATTTGCATGTATTATGTGTGCTGAAGTGGTGAATAGCAAGTGCAAGATGGAATCTGTTTGAACTAAAAATATTTTTATGGAGGGATGAAAACTTGCCGAGAAAATTGAGTAGTTATATATGAACTCCGCGTCCAATTGTTATGTTAGTCACGATGGAATCATCTTGTAGAGCTCTTCCGCCACTGTAGCGTGGAGCTGTTGGATTACGCGTCGGTATTGGAAGCACAACTGAGTGGAGAGAAACTATCAGCAGGGATGGACTTCAGTCAATGTCTGGATGCAAAAAACAAAGTTGACCTCACCGACGCGAAAGCTGGCGCATACTTCGAGCACGTGACCGTTCTCTTACACGACTGTGAGTTTTCGTTTCCTTATGCTCTTTTTATTTATTTATGGGGAAAATGGCAGACATTGCGGTCGATATTTCCCCTTGTCCCTATACATATGCCCAAAGTTGATAAAGCAACCTGTGAACTTGACTAACTCTACATATGCAACCTTGAGCCTGGGAAGGGGCGTCAGTCATTGACTAAAACGGTAGCTCGTTTCCATCCTTGCAGCTGAAGGATCCATAGTAGAGAAAGGCAGTCAGTGGCTACTCGTATCGCCGTAGTGCTGCTGGCTGAACTATCAAAAGGCCGCATTTGGCGTCTCAAGCGTGTCCTCTCCATCCATGTCCACGCGACGGGGACGCGTGAACGATGGAGGACCTTCTCGGCTCTTCCATGACTATCCACCTTGGTCCGCAACGTACGAGTGTCGAAATTCACACATAAAAATGTATATGGTCATGGTTGAACTGAGGAAAAAAACCTTAGTGGTATAATTGTAGTCAGTGGATGTCATTTCTGACCCTGGGATGCAACTATATTCTTCTGTATTCCAATCCTCTTCCAGTCCCAAGTAGATCAAAATGAAGCACACGCGTTGTTTTCATTCTGATGCTGTGTATTCTGAGTCGGAGGAAGTCCAATAAATAGGCGCATTCAGTGCAAGTATACTCATTGCCAGAAGAAGCACGAGAATGAGTTCAGCGATCATGCAGAAATTTAGATAACAAGCTCGCACGAGTGTACCATGAAATCGATTATAGTTACTAGGGTGTGTAATGAATATTCACAGAGAAAACTGTCCGACAATCCTATTCCTTTACCGGCTCTGGGGCAATACCAATCGCCAGAAACTGTCACCAAACGTTTTTTACATGTAAAACGTGGCAGGAAAACTCCTAAAGATGTGCTGAAAACTTAGGCCAATGTTGAGGTCATAGTATGAGGCAATGCAGAGAAAATATGCCTAATTCCCAAATAAAGGGAGAAAAGTGCGGTTTCTTCCCAAGTAGCACAAGAACATGCAGCAGGATGCTCAATTAAGGTGCCGTTTGATCATCAATACACGACTTTCTAGATCAATGATTCCCAACCTCGGGTCGCGACCCAAATCAGGGTCGAGAAGTGTTATTGGAAGGAAAAAAATTTTGTGCGATATGCATCATACTTCATTATGAATATGTGTGTATACGTATTATATATTTTATCCTAAGCCTGAGGGTCGGGAGGGCCTGTTGGTGGCTAATTTAGGGTTGCAGGAAAAAAAGGTTGGGAACCACTGTTCTAGATGGAAGTTCGTTGGACGTTAAAGATGCCCTTCTCTTGAGCATGACTGTGCTATCCATCTGACAGTGGCTAGAAACAAAGAAAGGTCCACACAATTGACGCTAGATGACGCCAAAGTACTCTGTGTAGCTAGACAGTACCTCATGCAGCTGGAATTTTCTTCAAATATTTTTCTTGAGGTGCTCGAATTTTTTCCCACGTAGACACTAGAGAGGAAGACATTTGAATTATTCAACAATCGGTCTTACGAGGTAACCCAGTTCGAGGAGTCTTCAGAAAACTGTGGCCCTGAGGATGAAGGGAGGATAGTTCAATTTCCAAGTTGACTTTATGAGACGGAAAGAAGATGCCTGTGGATGGATGATAATCCATATCATCGCTCCTCAAGAAAAGCAATTCCTCGTAGATTGCTGAAATTCTGATATGGAGCTAAAAAGCGGTTCCTTTCTCTACCTCTTTCCGCTCACGTCTCTGGCGCAGGGGTGGAATTGCTCACTTGTAACACATGAGCGCTGTCCGAGAAATAAGGGAACAGATGATGCTGCGAAAAAGCATTCATTCACATTGTGATAAAAAGTGGCCGGAATGTAGGCACATATGTCCACTACTTTTCGACGTAGTCCCCAATACGGTTAAGGCACTTGTCCCATCGTGGGATCAAGTTACAAATGCCACTGTCGTAAAATTCGCGGTCTGGAGTATGCAGCCAGGTGGTGACCGCTTTCTGCACATCTTCATCGGAAGCAAACCGCTGGCCGGGTAGGTGTCGTTTCAAGAGACCGAAGAGATGGAAGTCAGATGGTACCAGGTATGCGGCGGATGTTCCAGCACTTCCCAGCGGTTTTGCTCCAACCAGGCACGGGCGCGGCAAATGTGTGAGGCCTTCTGCGAACTCCTTACACCAGAAACAGACTTGCTTCTTCGAAATGACTTTCGGACCATGCACCACTTGCAGTTGACGACGAATTTCAGCAGCTGGAATTCCTTTAGCATTGAGAAATCTGATAACAGCAGGCACTTCGATGTTTGACCACGTCTCCAAGCGCGTCGCCGTGTTTGACTGCTCCACGCAAGCGCATAGAGACAGCGGTATCAACCACGTTTTTACCGACAGTAGAATGCATGACTCGCTTCATTCCCTCCAATTTGTAAGTGCATGTTCAACAATGTCTTTTCCCAACATGATATGTTACCATATTTTTTTGACAGTCCTCGTATATCGGAGAGAGATCAGAGTTTGAGTGCGATTCTCACTCACACCTTAAGATTGGGGTACCATCATTCCCAAACGGAATGGAAGTACAAGGGTACTTCCGTTCGCTAAAATTGGTCACACGTTTACTTGGGGCGAATGCAATCCTTTGATGCTGTTTGATAATATTCAATTTACGTCCTGGAAGAACGTTCGGGGAAGGCATAATTTTAACTTTTTTTGTTCGTTCTAAATTCCGGACTTTTCAACAGTCAAGGAATGCGCCTGAGGAAGTTCATGGAAGGTTGGCAAAACATGAAATGAAACGTTAATTTTAGATTCAATTTTAGATTCTGGTGATATTTGGGTTCTCTTTTTCCTTCATTTCGACGACCTTGTGCATTCTGGACAAAAAAGTTATAGCCTTGCGCCGTAGGCCTCATGCGTTCAAAGGTTGCTCTATATTGTGGTCAAATTCCGTAATAAATGGTTGCGTCCTTTGAGAGATATGAGCGTTCAAAGATGTACAATTTAAATGAAACGCCCTGTAGAGTCGTACCGGAGGGTCAACTTGCGAGGCAGAGATCTCTCTAGGCAATTTTAGCAGCACTTTTACATTTATTTGTTGATGTCGGTTAATTGTGATATATGGATCATAGACCATCATCGGGCTGATGCATGCATCAACTTTGATGCATGATATGAATTTCAATTACTCAACTCTATCAAATGCTAACATCAGCCTGGAAGCTCCAATTATTTTAATGGCACTCTGAAAGAGCTAGTCAGCCAAATTTCCACAAGACCGCTGAATTCCTTGGTCAATATTTTTTATCCATGAGCATGTAGAAGCATCTTTCAGCTCAAAGAAGAATCTACAAATTACGACGTGATTCTTTTTGTCAGTTTAGGCTGGAGACACGAAGGCACAACCGAAATTGGGGCGCTTAAAATTCTAATAATGTAATTCTAGCACTTATGAACAAACGTTGGTATGGTGAATTTGAAATTATGTTATTCACAGAACTTGCTTTTAAAAATGTCGGCGAATCTGTTGAGTTAGTGAAGTATCAATGACAGCATTTTCCTCCTATTTCTCGCATTTAGCTCCATGGGCGAGACTCTCTGGATCAGCATTTGGTGTGCACAGTGATCCCGTCAGCGGTGTGGCCTACGCGACGTTCGGAGTGACTCTTGATGCAGACAACAATGTCGACGTCTTTCCAGGCTACTGGCGGATTGATGAAAACGGCGATTGGATGGACGACTTCAGTGGCATCATGTTCGAATGCACTCTCGGTGCTGGGATTATGTTCTTTGTGGAGGTATGAGTAGCGAATAAAATATGACAGACAGACTTCTTCATTCATAAATCTGTCGTTTTAAGTGTTGTTACTTTCCTGCTGATCTATGTAGGATATAGAAGGGAGCACTACGACGTCGAATAAGCGTCTTTCGCAGGATTCTCACGTGAGGCCATTCTCCACCCAGCATTTCTAAGGGAAAATGAAAAAGGCCCTTACCAAATGTCTACGATGGATGAACAAAGAAATATCTCCAGAGCGGATTCGTACCAAGTGAATGACTCTCGAGGTGGAAATCCACCATTGTGCCAGTCACCTGGTACCGAATTCATATTGGGGAATGTGCAAACAAATTTTCCTTCTTCAAAATTGATTTACCTGCAATGAGAAAAGTTTCTTCAGGAAAATCAGCTGGAGTTTTGTCCTATTATCTTCGACTGATCTGTCCTCATGTTCAATCCAAAAACCGAAAAACTAAAGAAAATGAAGAAAAATTTCAGTATGAAGTGCACAAACATGGACAGGAATTCAAGCTTACGTTACACCTACCTGATGTAACGAGTACCGACACATGTAACCGAAAGACAACGTACAACATTTGAATCAGGATAGGCCAATATGATTATTCAAGAATCATCCCTGCGAGGTCATCTTGGGAAAGCCTTCCGCGATCATATGTCAGCACATGCGCCACTATGCTCACCTCATTGATGTCCAATGGTCTACCATCTGAGGGAGGCTTGGGTCAATTCCCCAACAATTTGCTTCAGCATTTCGTCCGTCTCGCATCAATGCGACCTCTTGGCAGGAAGAAGTTCGTGATACAGTGCGGATAGTTTAATCAGTCACTGATAAAAATCAAAACGTCGACCTGATTCAAATATAATATTCGGCAAGTATCAGAAACCGCTACCCTGTGAAAATACCGGGAATTTATCCCAGTGGTGTCTGAGCAAAAATCGATCAATCGTCGGTTCGGCGTCATCTCGCATCAGTTAGTATAACTTATATTCTGCAGAGAATTTCAATATGATTCAGCATATTTGCAATTTTGATCCTGGATTTTTGAGACAACGAGGACAACTCTATGTAGAACAATATTGGGACAATAATGTTCAATTGGGACAATGAAAAATATATTTAAACCATGTGGACCATACACTGCCAAGAAATGAAATAAGAACACCTAGAACGAGGGATGCCACAAGAACCACATTTTGGGCATTTATTGGAGACATCATGGTATGCAAGTGATGGATCACTCACCAATATCTCAGAACCAAGAGGAGCGATACAATCATGTGACAGTCATGTGGCATAGAATAGTATAAGGCCGCAGGGAACGTCGTTTGGCAGATTTTTTCTTACCATACAAAGTATTGACTGTTATGTGGCCACATGGGTGTATAACACCACCAGGACATCAGGTATCAGATAGTGATTAATCATTTACATGCCATGATGCTTTCAATAAATGCCTATAGTTTGGTGGTTGTAGCATCACCAGTACCAGGTGTTCCTATTTCATTTGGCGGCAGAGAATATGTGAAAAATAATTTTGTACATAATTACCTCCAAATGACTTCTCCGACCCTTTAGAAATCTCTACAGTATTTGTTGAATAAGTGAATTATAAAAAAAGTTTTGAATGATGTTGATTCTTCATTGCTTTCTCAATTGTAACCAAGTCTCAACATTTCAACTCCCATTATATGTTTACTTAAAGCTCTTGTGTCATATGTCTTATGCTGACTTCATATTCTCTGTGAAACATATCCCTAGCATCATAAAACGTTGAATACGCATAGAATGGTAATTCAACGTCCGGATGTTGATACAATGCATATTTCATTCTGATTCAATGTTATGTGCTACTGGGTATATTTTGAGGAAGAAGAAAGCATACCGATTCACAGACTTGAAGTCGACATGGATAATACATCAAGAGAAAGAAAGAAAAGGGGTCTGCAAGTGAAATCATAATGAGATAAACCACACTTCCACACCGTCGCTGTTTTAGGGCTCGGTGTTAGAGCGGAAATTGATTATTTTTTAAATCGTGCTGCTATGCTTGGTTATTTTCCTCCTGCTGTAACGTAGACAATCCCGAATGTACTGAGAACGCACTGGATGCTGTCACGGTATAAATCTCCTCATAAAGTCCTCGGAGTCATGAAGTCATGAAGTCCTCATAAAATCATAAAGTCCTCGAAGAGGGTTTTTCTGGCTTGATCGGTTTTCGACCCTGGAATTGAGCCATACTTGATGTGAGACTACTTAGGCCTAGGGGCTGGACGTCCCCCGAAATAATTCACCCAATGAGATCTTCAAACGTGCCACCCCTTATTTGCATGTTCCATCTCGGACTGGTCACTCACCTGTTTCCTCGCAACTCAGCCTTCAGCTCTGCCTCCAATGCTATTTCCCCTCAACCTCAACCTCAACCAGCTCTACCTCCAATGCTATTTCCCCAATTGTAACGAGAACCTGAATCATACACATATTTTAGAAGGGGCCAGGGCTACGCCGGTGACCCTGTAAAACCTCCCTCCCTTTCTCATTTTTTGTTCTTAACTATTTTAGGCCTAAGCCTGTTCATTGTTGGAAAGAGTGAAAATATAAACTTCCCTCTGTACTGATCTGTTTTCCACTCACTGTAAATATAGAACCTATGAATGATTCGGGACCTTGGGTGGGAACGATATAACGTTAGACCCGCACAAGGCACAACAGAGGCCTATCTACCAGGTGTTGCACATAGATAGCCCCTCTCTCCACAGCCTAAGCTATAGAAGCTAGGAAATCATTTAAATATATTTGGAATCCTTGTTCAATTTTGAACCTCTTCCATCCATTTTGGTTTTTCTTGATGTCATATGATGGTAATAAACTTAAATTCAATGATCGCACCCGCGGTGTTTCGTTTCGAGCTCATGATGCCAGAGCTGAATTCCTTACCCGTTCATGGGTTTCGAAACATATTAATCATTCAGCTTCTGTCTGATGAAGCCCTATTTTTCAAAGCTTTGATCACTGCGGTTGCTGAAAGGCTCCAGATATTGCTTTTTTGGAAATGAATGGCCAGGAAACTCTCCTGGTATGAATGTGACTGAGAACATTGGGATTGTCCTGAAAGACTGAGTTGAGGCTCATGCACATGGAGGGCAAGCAGCATGGATTCTCCCGGAAAGCCTTGCAAAGCGACATCACCAAGGTGTTGAAGATGACACCGAACCAGGGTGCATAAAAATTATGGTAAGTACATGTTTAGATTCGAAAATGAATGCTCTTTGTCATGATATACGAGTTTTTTTCTTAGCACTTATAGTTTCGACTGAGGAGGGGAGGGGACTATCTATGTACAACACCCGGTTGAAGATTCGCTTCTAATCAAATATAGCCACCCCTTCTCGTCATCGTAAAATACGGAAAAACTTTCTCAAAAATCATTTTAACAGACTTCGCACAGAGTGCTGGACGCGATTTAGCACATTTGGGGTAAGCAGAAATTGAAGCCACTTTGTTGAAACCTTTCACAACCTTCCTTCCGAAAAAGAGTTGAATACCAACATGAAATACAGAAAAATTAATTGACAGTCTACCATTCTCAATTTTGTGGCGCAGGCACTCTCCTTATCCTTTCTTTTCACTGTGGTGCAAATTCACTTCCAGGCATATCAAGAAAATACCTTTCGAAAGGTACTTTAACCCATTTCGGAATCTAGCAGAAGGTCCCATAAATAACGAATACCATTCCCATTTCACATCCAAGGCTACATATTTGCAAAGGAAATAGCGTGTTTCGCAGAAAAACAATGGTTAGTTTACCTCTGATTTATCCGCCAGTGTGATAGTCATATAAAATGCGAATACGCCGTTAGAAGACGGTAGATCCTTCTCTGTTTCCTGCACCAATTGAAGGGAAGCATAGTGCAACTGCATCAGGCAGCCATTAAAACCTCTGATATTGGATGACGTTCTTCGATTGAAAAAATTGCAATTTGACTTTGAGTACCGATGGTACATTCGAAGGTGGTGTCGCCAAAGTCGCTACCCCATTCCCCGTTTTCATTGATCCGCCAGAAACCCTGGGAAGATAATGGCGTTGTTGCTTGCATCGACGGTCACCCCAAAGGACTCGTATGCCACACCGCTGATTGGATCGCTGTTCACACTGACTACCAATCCGAACAGCCTGGCTTGTATAGCTAGAGGCAAGAATGGAAGGTCAAAGTACCTTCTACAGTGAGTCGAAGATGGAATGGAGAATTGGACTCACTGTCGGGACTAAGAACGAGGAGGTCTTGGAGGTATGCTCCTGCTCTGACACCGGTCATATCGACTTCACCAGTCGGGTCCACACATTGACTGAAGTCGATCTTTGTCATCAATTTCGATCCATTCAGAAGCGCCTCAAGGACCGACGAGAAATTCCTCAACTCCACTCTAAGGTAATGGATATTTACTTTGTACATTTCTTCATCCTGCTGAGACGACACGAAATCGGAGGACACTGTGGAACTCGTCGGAGCGGTGGGAATATAAGTAGACTCCTTCAGCCATTTTGCAATCAAAAATGACAACGCTTGAGTTACCAGGAATCAATGGGTCGAAGATGGTAATCTCATCGTGAAACATGTCGTCTGTGGTCACGAGAATTCTTCCATGACTAAGTTTCCAGCGACTATTATAAATAAGAAAAGTCATGAAGATACAAAGGATGAAAATAGCATGAAAACTCCTTGAGTGAAGAGAATTAGAATGACCGTCAGCATTGGATTGAGAGAAGTAGATGACTGGCTCATCTACTTCTCTCATCCCATCTCGAATCCAAGACCCCACCTTGGCTCCAGCAGACTGAATATCCAACAAGAATTATCCCATCTCGGTGTTTAAAGATGAGATTGTGTACTATATATAGGTCACGGTCTCTACTATGTGCATACTTAGTGAAAAAGGCCCAAGGAGGCAATAAAAATATAATTGGCCTTCGTTGCGATTTTCCACCCCTTATTCCTTTCTATCACTCAACAATCACTCGAAAATAAAATA